CCGCTGTTCTGACCACTGAGCGTGCAGAACGTAGCAAGCGTCATATGATAGTAGCCTGAACAAACCTCTCCAACCAACTAGCCCCGAACTCCCATAGGTTGAAACCAACCTGACACCTAGAATCCCTGCAACAACTGAGAACAGAGAAGACCTCGACCCCTCCCCACCCCCCTCCCCCTAGAACCAAAAAGCAAAAGCACCCACCCATTACTACGACTAGTACATAACGAGCCTGAAACAAAGTGATACGATAGCCATCGAGCCCGTACCACGGAGGAAAAGGGCACTTTTTCTTTTTAGCCCGGTCCAATTTTTGGCCTACCACGCACACAGTTAGCCAAGAGAAATTAAAACGTAACCACCTAGGAAAGGGGTTAAGTGGGAAGGAACAGAAAAGGAAACATACATGTCGTGATGTTCACTTAGTCTGCTCAGATACTTGTTTAATTCTTCGACGCGCTCTTTGTGAGTTTTGACCCCTTCTCGTTTCAGGCGCTCTTGCAGCTGTATATGGTTGTTAGCTTATCTTGTCTGTTTGTGACATAGACCTTCATCGCTTCATTCTCCTTATAATGAGAGGGTTTCGAAAAAGCAGCATGTACATCAACCTCATACATAAGAAACAAAATCAATCAAACCAAGAAAATAAAATCAAAAACCCAAAGAGTAATGAGAAGGAAAATGTAATTAATACATACCCTCTTCCGCCTCATCTCCTCATACTTCCTCTCCGCTTCGGTCTTCCCAGCTCCCGCAGAGCCAGATGCTGATGAAGGCTCATGTTCATCAGGGCGAGGTTCCTCTTCAGCACCACTGGCAGTTGCTGATGTTGTTGTTGTAAGTTGCTGCTCCTGTTGATTCTTCTGCTGCTCACTCTCCTCTCCATTTTCTGGAACGGACGATTTCTTGCTGCTGCTGCTGCTGCTGCTGCTCTTCTTCTTTTTCTTCTCTATTCGACCGTTGCTGGTCTTGGAGCCTTTCAGTTTTAATTTGCCGCCTCCACCCGGGGTGGAGTATTCGCTTGGTGCCATTTCCCCCCTTCTTTCTTGGTAAAGTTTTTTATTCTTATTATTGTTCTATGCTTGGGGATAGATGGTCGTGCATGGTTAGGTTGATGGGGAGGTAGTATGGATGATGATGATGATGATGATGATGATGATGATGGGTGGATACTACTGGATGGATGGTGATTTCGGTTGCTGCTTTAAGCGGGTTGGTCAGGTGACTTGTGTGGTTTGTACTATGGGGGTTGGGGTTATGGTGGTGAGAACTACTAGCCTTGATGTATTGTCATTTAGAATACAGGAGAGAAGAATGCCAGAAAGGAGAAGAAATTTGAACTCGTTATGTCTGTTTATGGTTCAACGTGGGTGATGGCTGCTTCATGGCCATGCTGGTGGGCTCTACATATGCGATATTCTATGTCTGGCACCATGCTTGGAAAACTATTGGAAATTCTGTTAACACAGGGGGTGGTACCAGGATTTGGCATGTTCTGTTTGCTTCATTAATTTAAATATCTGGTATATTTCTTTAATGCCCTGCGATTCTCATGTCGAGTTCGGCATCAATAATCCATTTATCCCACACCGAAACTCCATCGTAATATATGCCCATTAATCGAATGGAATCGGGCGCAGCCCGGATCCGCCTCCTCGCTTTCGCATTTCAGCCCCTGCTGCAATTGTGCTGGGTACCTTTATTCCACAGCAATCCCCAAAGTAATCTGTGTGGTCGGCATGGTTGTGGTCGTGGCCATGCTCGTGGTCGTGCTCATCGTCTTCCATATCATCCGTTATCTCCCTCATCCCGGGGGCTGCCGGCAACAAGCTACCGAACAAAAAGTGCTGCATGATGGGAAGCTTGCCCAACACCTCCTTGGCGAACATCTTCTTCATGCCACTCTCGATTTTGCTCCAATTCTTGGCTCCTGATATGTCATCCAACATTGGGCTGTGCCACCGTAATCCCTTTACAGTTTTCACGCTATCCACCCATCGGACCTGATCCAGATAGATGTACTTGCCACTTTCCTCCTCAAGAACTGCCATGTTGTGGATTGCCAATGGCGTGATGTAGGGATGTGCAACGAGCTGGGAGGCACCGAACAGGAACGGCAGGAAATGATAATCATCGAGACCCCACACTCCATGTGATCCAGCAGGTTCCAGGTAGTACGTGGTTTGTATGTCACGCATGAGGTTCATGTAGCTCACGTATACATGGAAGACGATCGCAGGGAAGTCCGTGGCGGAGAATAAGTGCACCTGACGTAGACACAGCAACCACATCATGAAGTTCAACTCGTGACCTGAACCGTAGTCTAGTCGGTCGCGCGACCCGAGCGAGTTGATTAGATAGGTCGAAGCTTCTTCTATGAGAGCTTGATCTTGGAACCCGAGTATATCCTTGTGCCATGCCGCACTTTGTGCTGCGACATCGTCAAATAGATCGCGAAAAGCTGGGTTACCGAATCGCGAGCCGCCTTGGTCGAGTGACGGGTGTATCTCGAGAAGGGATCGGATTTGGAATACTATAGACTGAATTTTGGTGATGATGGGGGAAGGGCTGCCGATCTCCGTGGTTGCCCGCCCCCGCACTGAATCGGAGAGACCGAAGATGAAGGCGAGGATCAAGGTATGGGTTGAGGAGGAGAGAAATAGGTCATGGTCTTGCTTCGATAATATCCGACGCACTGGGCGCGCATACTGATGGGAGGAGAGATCCGGAGGACTGGGGAGAGGCGGGGTGACTGGAGCAGGTTCGCGGGAGGAGGGCGTCTGAGACTTGGCTTTACTCGCACGAAGTTCCGAAAGTTTCTTGGAAAGGTCAATCTTCGGTTTCGGTGCCGGACTAGACACGGAAACTTGTGAGGCCATTTTGAGCGATATAATAAGGAGGTCGATGCGATCCAGTCTTCCTAGTGACCTTGCCGCACGACAACTGGCAGAAGATTGTTGCTATCGTTGGACGAGAATGTGATAAGCAGCCACGGTCATCTGACACCGCCCGCAATGACATAAGATGGATTTGGGCTGTTTGGCAGAAACTGACCGCCTATCAGTAGAGCAGCCATGGCCCCTTTCCTAAGAAGGTATAGCTAGATTGCCACAATATTGAGGCATACACAAGTGTATTCTGGGTCCTACTATTGGGGTGGCGACAAAACCTAATGGGGTGAACAATGGCGCTGGAAAGGCTATCCGAGTTCAGAACTGAGTTGAGCCACATCGGATTCATCGGATTCGACTCGGCCTTTGCCGTCATCCGAATCCGTCCGCCGAGCAGCCCACCAAATCTCATCGAGGAGCCTCGGACGGAGGCTTACTCCGCGCCGTGGATCATGATGGCATATGCGGTGCAACGCCCCCGAACCAACTGACATCACATTTGAACACAAAGTTTTCGACTCCACGAACGAGGAAGCAAAGTGGACCGATCGATTTTCAATGTGGCTAAGTCCAGGGCTTCGGTTCGGATTTTCTGGAACATGAGAGCGATATCCGCTGTGAACCATGGATCGGCGCGGCTGAGTTGAGGCACTATTGACTCGAAGGCAAGTACGAGCGAAAGCGTTCAGCCTGGGGAAGGTTTCCGGAAGACAGATCTGATCGGGTGGAGGGCTGAAAGAGGGACAGTCTCGGAGGGTAAACTGAAAACCATAAGTAGGTAGGCATCGACCCTTGCATTGGATATGACTAGTACTGGGGAAAGGGTCTCTATCCCTTATTATTGTATCGTAAGCCAGAAGAAGGACACAGCGGTAAGATAGGTTACAGTAAGCAGAATACTGCTTCGAATGTTTGTTGTTTCACTTGGGATTCAGTCGGTCGCTGCCTTAATACCAACCTGACCCAAGATCGGCCTATTCGTTCCAGAATCATTGCTTCTCAGAGGGATTTAGGACATGTTATGGAAACCAGAGCGATAAGGGACCAGGAATGCATCTCGACTTACAGTAAGTAGTAGTACTTACGTAGCACTCCGTACTCCGTTGTCGCCTGCGCAGATAAGCCCAAAACATGGGACACGGTTGGTTAGACGCACAACATTTCACACCATGATTAGACTCGACTAGCCCAAGGTGCCTGGTCCCTGTTCGGTGACGGTCTATCGGGTCTGAAGGGAAACTCTGTGCCAGTCAGACAGCCATGCTTGGTTTCCGGCTAGGCCGCATGTACGTCGACGATTCGGGCATATCAATCTTTGCCCTTCAGCCAATAGATAGATGTCTCTGGCTGCACAACATTGATGAGAGATAGTAGATACAAGGTACTAAGTAACCTTGGGCAACGCCACAGACAGCTCGCATGATGTCTTGATGATAGAACTTCTTGTACATCGTACCGATGAGTCTCGATTGATGAGAAAGTAAGTATAAGCCTCCCATGACTCAGTTGTCGTCAGATCCTCATTCTATTGGTTCTCCGACCAGTTCAGGATCACCGGTCTCTTCCCAGGGGAAGGAATAAATCAGACTGCTGAGAAGGCTACTAGCTATCGAATTATCTAGACCGCGACATGGCGAAGCTGAAACATCCATATCATCGTAGTCGGCGCGGGAAGATGATGGGAGCTGAATTGCGTCTAGGGTAGAAGCAATTGGACGGGTCACTCGGCGCTTCTACAATACCTCTTCCGTGGTGACTTTATCCGGGAATCTCAGCGGCGTATCCCGTAGTATGCAATGGGCCGTTCCTGAAATAGAAGGCCACAACCAAGATCGGCCGACGTGGCTGAACTGCATTGAAACTAGAACTGGAACACATGGGCGATACTATCTAGTCCTCACTAACAGTTTCTTGGCAGCCAATGATAGGCGTGACATGTGCCGCCAGACTCAGGTGGCTAGTAAAGATCCTGACAAAAGTATTGGTCCATCACTTATCAGGGGAGGGGAGAGAGGGGAGTACTAAGAGGGGAGGAAAGTGATGTGCCTCACTCTGAGAGGGAAGAATTGGCGCCCGTCTTCCATCTAGTAGTTACGAACTTACGTAGGTGCTCCATGCCTCGTATCGTATTCAAAACCTTTTACAGTAAGCCACCATCATCCCTTATTCTGTCAGTGTATTTATTGTGTGGATGATGTTGGTCAGGATGCTTAACGGGTTCGCAACAACCGAGGAAGATGATGCGATCATGGGATGAAGTCGCAGATGATGGAGAATGATCACCAGGGGGACGGGAGCACAACAACACCAAGTTTGGGGGGAAGGAAATCTATTCTTGGTTGTCTCTGATTTCCATGCGGGATGTTTCAACTTGCATGGCTTTTCCCCTCCTGGATGTCGGGACGTGTCAACCATTGCAGGGATCGCTGGCTGGCTGGCGAAGTTGATTACTTTAGTAAGTAGTTTGTTTGGTATCGATGTACTGTAAGAGAAGGTTGCGAGCGAGTGGGTAGTAGTAAGGAAGTCAGTACTAAGAGTAAGAGTAGTAAGAGTACGAGGTGAAAGTAACTAAGCCTGTAACAGGTTTAGTACTAGGTACGGCTAGTAGACACAAACTCCGTATTTAGTCTTGCTTTTTCGGCGCGACGGGGCAAGGAGTCAACTGGCGCTAATTAAACTAGCTTGAATGCAGTTAGCCCAAAGCGTCTAGTGGGTGGCGGTCGGTCTTTCCCCACCGAGACAAGCGAGATTTCGATGCCCCTGTTCGTGTTGCGGATTGGCCGCCCGTTCAGGTACCGCCAATTTAGTCTACTGGTGCCTGGGGGGTTTTCTCCGGAACTTGACCCAATAATGGTGGTCCCCCATCACATATTGGAGTCATGCTGGTGACAAGTTAATATAGCCCAGAGACACTACCAAGCCATTCACGGGCCATCAATTCAGCATGGAGATGGATCGCTAATATCAGCTTGATTATTATGCTCCATAATGCCAAATTGCCGCCATGCAAGAACCCTGATTGCAACGGACGGCATGAACAGGTGGCAGTGGGAAAGTGGAGACCTCTGGCTCTGGCACTGGCTCTCGCTCTTCTTTCTCCTCCTCCATGCCTGGCTTATGTCTCAAGCTCAACCAGGGATGCGCACCGTATTCGCACTTGGTAGCAATCAGACACTATGACGTCTTCTATATGAAGAACTGCAAGACGAACATTTGGGTTGTAGATGGAAAAGTGAGAGAACCACTAAATGCATTAGATCTGCCATCCGCATTGTTCTCCTAAAGTAAAGACTATCGGTTTTTGCTAGACTGTCCGGATTCTGTACCGGTGCCGAGAAAAAAAAAGATATTAAAAATAAAAAATAAGGAAGCCTGCAGATTCGGAGTATTGCGACTTCATCGACAGGGTACTACGTACGTAGGCGCAGTAGTAGCAAGTTAGTAGGCACGCATTCATCCGAGAACTCCGCAGGCCTGACTAACTGAAAGTATGCAATTTCCCCATGAAGACGCTGGCCAGACTAGTCTAGTCTAGTATTGATGGATTTTAATGCTACGATGGAGCCCTTCACTATCACCTTTAATTAGTAGTGTGGCCTCGAAAGCGGGCTAGTGCGAGACAAGTGAGAAAGCGAAAGAGGGAGAGAGAGGGCGAGCGAGTGAAAGGTCTGCCTAGTAATTACTGACTGACTGGCCTTTCTCCGTACTTTACCGGTGCGCATCGTTCGGTGGTCACGCCTCCGCATGCTGACTGGAGCGCTGGGCGATCGGATGGCCCTGGTAATACGCGGTACGGATCATTTGGTACTAAACCAGGTTGAACGGTACGGGCGCGGCCCCTCCGGCCACCCAGCCAATCATCCCCTGCCGCCCTCCATACGTCGCCGTCTCCTCTCCTCCTCCTCCACCACCAAGCCTTTTGCTGCACCTCAGCCTTTCCTCTCCTTCCTTCAACTTCATTTTCCTTTTTCCAGGTTGATCCTCTCTCTCTCTCTCTCTCTTTCCTCTCCCTCCCCTCCTCCATCTCTCCTCCCTCTTCCTCCTTCTCCTCTTCTTCTTTCCTCCCCCTCTCTCTTCACTATACCTTCTTATTCACATTAACCTTTCACTCTCTAAACTTCACTTCGCCCTCCTCTCCCGACTCTTCCGCCCATCCTCTCCTCCTTGGCCCGTTCCCGTGGCCGTCCGCTCCTTACAACACCAGTCTCCTTCGTCAACAACAAGTACGACATACCTTCAACTCCCTCGATTTCGATACATTCATTCGATTCGCCGTGTCTCTAAAGCGTTGCTCGACCACTGAATCAGTTACAAAAGCGATTGTGGAGGCTTGTTGTGTCTTTAGGTTTCAAATCGTTTTTGCGACCTTATACTCGGACTTGTATTCTTTCGGCTCGTATTCATCGGATCCTGGGGTCTCGTCTCTTCCTTGGTGCGACACTTGAGAGTTTGGATTCAAGGGTTCAATGGTACCATTGCAGAACTGAAGGCCTCCAGACAGCACCGGGCTTTCCAATCATTGTAGGGAAGCCACCAAGGTCTGGAGGTCCCCGTGCGTCGTCAAGGTCACATCAACTGTGTCCATTACTTGCCACGGCGTGATTCAAGTCATCTTATTGTATCAAGGTTTAATCGGTATTACCCAGACCTCTTGATCAACCCGGCGTATCGTTATGGCTTCGATATCCCTACCTCCACAGCCTCAAGCTAGTCCGGCATTCTCTCCATATATTCCCCCGGCTGATCTGTCTCCTGAGGGTCACAGCCGCCGCAACCTGAGAATGTCTGCTCCGCTCCCAAACCCCCACTTTGTCTTTCCAGCCCGGGATCCTAGCGATGAGACACCCCAGTCTTCGGAGACCGGTGCGAGGGCTGCTCTGCCGCTCCCAGCGTTTTCGTTCAACCCGGGCGCTCAACATTCATCACAACCATCGATGCCCTCTCTCTCCCCAAATAGACCAGGTGGACACCGCAGACGCTGCAGTGAGTTCGTTGGTGGTGAACATCCGATCATTCCGCCTGCGTCCGTCGAGGCCACTCAAAGCAAGGATGACAATTTAGCGCCAGCACCCGCCAAACTTCCCGCTCCAGGGCCCGGCTTTGGTGCGGGTAGTCAAGGAAAACGCCGCCATGCCCACCGCCGCTCGGCTGCTATATCCAGTGTGGATCTCACGGCTATCTCGAATGCGCTAGACTTGAAACCATCCATTGGAAGTGCTCCATGCTTTCCGGCAGATACAACGCGCGAAGGCCATGCTTCCAATGACCCTCCCAGACCAGTCTCTCAGTCCGCAGCTATTCTGACCCGGCGATCTCCGCCAGTATCGCCTACCATCGTGATTGAGGAAGACCACTCAGAGGTTGTTGAACCTGGTACTCCTAGCTATGTGCCCTCGCCCGGACGTCACTCGGCTGAGATTCTGTCGAAAGAAATTGGGCCGGCGGCAACATCAGGACTTGGCGCCTCCGCTAGAAATAGCGGCTATACTTGCTTTTCTCCTGCAGTCGACAACACACAAGCTAAGGCTGAAAAGTCAAGGCCAAGACCTCGAACTGCGGATGCATCCTTCATGCTAGATCCGAGCAAGACCGCCAAAGCGGACGATGCATCGCCCATGAAACGGCCATTGTCTGCGGCAGGCCACTCCCGTAATCGCAAGAGCTTGTCTTCAGGAATCCTCGAGCACCTTGCAGGCTCATCGCGACGTTCCTCTTCCTCTTCCAGTGGCTCAGAAAACAGCTCGAATACCTCGGTTAGCGAGACAAATGACTCTTCGGAATCTCCTTCAGGCAAAAAGAAATCGAAGTCCAAGAAGAGGCAGAAAAAAGTGCGGTCTTGGGCGGGCGCTCTTCTAACAAGGGGTAAGAATAAGCGCCATACCAAGAAGGACATGTCGGTATCAAACTCCACTGCCTCTCCCCCTGCGTTAACCCGGACAAATTCGGATCTCGGTTCTGGCTTGGACGTTGATTTCGATGATGACAACATCGTCGTCTTGAGAACACCTACCAACCCGGCTACACCGGAGTCTAGTCATCTGCCTCCAGAGGAGGAGCTACAACCTAGCCTGGATAGCTCCTGGAAGCCAAGGAGCTTTTACGAACAGAATACTCAGAATGATGCCTTTAGCCCAGTGATAGATCTAGATGCAGCTCTGGGTCCTTTCAATACCCCTGACATGCGGTCTAGTCGTGTTGCAGAGAGTGGTTTTTCAGCGGCAACGAAGCGGATGTACAGTGGTGGCCGACGAGGTGAATTCATAGGTCCAGAAATGCGCTATCATCGACGTGCAGAGAGCGCTCCGGAAATGCCCCCGTTTGATCGCAGCTTTCTCGGTGGCAATCGCTTTGTCACCACCTCAACCTTAGAGAACCCCGATGTTCTGTACGAAGAAGAGGAGGATGCTTTTCTTGCTGCCACCGGCGATTCTCAGCAGGGATCTGTTGAACAATCAGGGCCGCAGGTAGCCGCATCCGACATCGTTGAAGCAGATAGGCAATCAGAGCAGAGCAAAGACAGCTCTGATACTCTGACACACCAACCGCTTGCTCAAGAACTCAACAAGGGCGATATATCTCACGCTGGTCTTGGTATACGGAAGGACGAACCAAACGATGCCACGGACATTGCTGCTACACGCCCGGATCAGGAGGAACAGAAGTCCGCCGCAGAGCAGGCCTCGCTCGCTCAGTTCCACAATGCGGCTAATCCTTTCTCTGCTCCGCTGCAAAGCTCGACAGAGACGGGCCGACAGGAGTGGCACCATAAGCCCGTTCCACCGAGTCCCGACATCTCGCCTCGATTTATGCCTGCTGACCGCGCTACTACCCCATTGGAGCTGACCCCCAATATCCCTCCGTTGTCTCTCCAAGGCAACAATTCCCTTCCAAACTCTTCTTTCCCATCTCCCGACTTCACGCTGTCTTCCGTCGACGTTCCTCGCTCAGTGACGACATCGTCCACGACCGATCGTAATTTTTCGAACCCCTCATACAATCCGTCCGTGGATCTTCCTCAGGGTTCAGTTGAGGATGTGCCCTCACTGACCAGCAGTGCGTCAACCGCAACGAACACGTTGAACCGAATTTCCGGCACGTTCTTCACTCGTCCTCGCTTGTCCACCGATCGTTCGGCGTCTTTTTCTGCCGCTGTGCGCCGTCGTACCAGCCAAGCTCACAGCTCTAAGAGATCTAGTCTCGCCAGTCTCTCCAAGCTGGTTGTTGGACCCCACGCAGAACGCAGCAAGCTTAGCTACGAAGAGAAGCCACCGGAAGATGAGCCTGAGAGATCCAAGAAGAAGGGCCTTCGCATTAGCAGGCTCATGCACTTCTGGAGAACTAAAGACAAGGACAAGTCCTGTCTTGAACATGGTGTTCGGGATCAGCGGCCCTCTTGAGCCATCACTGCTGTGACCATTGTCTGCCCCTTGTACATATCTAACCTTATGATTCTCTTCGACGTGGTCTTTGCAAGATCTCTTTATTCCACCTTTATCTCTTCTTCTTCTTTCCCCTTTTTACTTCTTTTTCTTTTCATTTTTATTATTACTCGGACCGGTTCGCCTTTCTGCGTGTTGGGTGGTAACTGACGAATTTCTTTTTCATCGACATGTGGTTAAGCGTAAGAGTATGAAAGCTCTATCTTGTTTTTTTTTTTCTCTTTCTTGTCTCTCGTTCATGGCCGGTTGCAGTTGTGAACAAACCCTTCATCTCCGTTCGCTATTCAATGTTTCAGGGCCCATCTTCAGTTTCAAACAATTTTCTCTTGATTTTCTTCTGATTTCACTATCATCCATCTTTCTCTTCTTGCATTCATTATGGCATCCATATTTATGTCATTCTTTTTCCACGAGCCTTTCTTTTACATGGGCTCATTGGTTCTGTTGGCGATGTTGGGGTCCTTCTTATTATTCGACTTCCTTGGGAGGTGCATGTCATTCAATCTTGAAGTGCAAGCATCCTTGCCACTTTGAGTATGCAGATCTACATGCAAACAGTATGAGCTGCTCACAGACAAATCAATCTACACTCCGCGTCATCACTTTGATGGCGTTTACTCAGTAACCATTCCGAGCCCTTGTAGTTTGTCACGTGTATGAA